AGATAGATAGATAGATAGATAGATAGATAGATAGATAGATAGATAGACAGATAGATAGATTATCTAGGCAGAACCCTGGGGCTCCTTCATTCACTTGTTTTTCCCAAAGTGAATAGTTAGATTAAATTCTTTTGGGTGATCATTGGACCCGCAATTTCTTCAGTGGAGGTCATTCACATTTAGGAGGGATTGCCTCTCCTAAAAGATAGAATCACTTTTTCTGAAATTTATTATCTGACTAAGCCACCTGGGTCATTGAAAGATGAAGTGACTTGTACTGCCACTATTTGTCAGAAGCAAGACTTGCGCCCAGGGCTTCTTGACTTCAAATCAGGTCTTTCTGAATCTAGAGCCAGCTCTCTCCCCACTGTGCAATGCTGCTGCTCTATGAGTGATGATAGACCTCATCCTGGAGACTGAAATGTTCCAAGTCTTGATGGAATCAGCACAAAGTCCTCCACAAACAGGAGAATTTGAAGGACCCCACTAGCTATCTCAAAGAAATTCCTTTTTGACTTGATATCAGTTGGATCTCCTTGTCAGTGGCAAACACTTCTAGCAAAATAAATTGTTTAACCAACTCCTTTTGCCATAATAGACAGTGGAGCTGCCATATTGGGACTTTATTATCACTGTCCCAAATGTGTTTATAGAGGAATTGGAAATGGTGCTGAACTGAAGAAAGTTGGGGAGAAGCAGCTGGACTGGACCAAGCACATGGAGAGGATTATACTGACAACATTACAACTCAGAGGTTGTCGTTCAAGGTATCTGAAGAAAGAGAAGGTAACAAAGGCATAAAAAAAGATTTGACATCTTCTTACCCCCAAAAAAAGGCAACTGAGAAAATCTTGCTAACTACCAAGCACATGCCTACTTTCTCACCTATGTAAAATGTCTTATGAAAATAAACTGCATATGCCTTGAAAGCATCCTCAGTGGAGGCAATAGGAGGGAACAGGCATGCTTTTGAAAGTCATCCACAGTAGACTCGTGTTTACCATCACACAACTGACCAAAAGATGCAGAGAATATCCAATCCTATAATTGTTTTTGCTGTCTATAAAAAAAATTAATTCATTAGAGCAAAATACGGCCAATAAGGTGTCACCCAAGCATAGGTCAAAATTAGTCAAGATAAATTAGTTAAGATTTCTTGGAAGATGAGGCAGCAGAGACAACCTTGTTTGGGTCATTAATATCAAGGCAAGCATCAAATAGGAAGATTGATGGAATGCCTATCACAAAACCAAGAAAGTAAGAATTCACATACTGAACTCCTTAATTTTTAGGTGTTAAGATGGCATTGTCCAGGGGTCAGAGAGGGTTAAAGTCATACAGGGAAGTGCCAGTCCCTGGTTATGACAGTGAGACACCTGGAGGTTTGTGTGTGACTATGCCTATGTGTGGCTGAGGTGGAACAACGGAATAAGCTATGGGAATTACAGAGGCTGAGAGTGGGGGGGGGGGCAGTAAGTGAGTTTGTGGAAGCATCTCTATGAATATGAAAGTGTTCTAGTATAAGACTAGGGGTTAGGGAGGAGAGGAAGATGATGAGCCAGGTACCAAACTCTTTGCGAAAGGAAGGAGAATGAGAGGGCAGTTGGTATACTTTTTTGTTCAGT